TTTGTTCAGGTAAACAATTGCATAACAAGTTCATAGAGATAAACATTTTTATGAGTGCGGTTTTAAAATTTGAAGAAAAGGCAAAAGAACTTTTGTTTAATTTAATTTTTTCGGTTACTCTTCTACCATTAATATGTTTATATATAATATGTTCCACTTTTTTCAATATGTAAAGGGACTTACGAGACGATGTTGTAGTACACTAATTTCACAATATAATGAACAAGATATGGAATACAATATGTACTTACAAGTACTATTTTGCTTAATCTCTGGTCAACCCTTTGTCATCTGGTTGTTGTTTACAATGTCGGTCTGTAGTTTATAATATTCCCAGCTAGTGAAAGAAGTAACGTATATAAACGACATTGTCTTTCATCAATTGTTAGTAGCGATGAATCATGGGTAATTTTTTGCATCCACAGAATTTTTGGCTCAACTTATACATCGCACTTTCTCCACGAATAATAAACCAACAATCTGCGATGTTGGTCCAACAGTAACATTTATTTATTTTACTTATGAGTATCCCATCCAAGAGAAAATCTAATATTTATAGACAGGTGTGGATCCAATTTTTGGAAGAAATCTATCTCCTTATAAATATGGAATAAGAGCACCAAAGGCATTCTACAGTGGCACATCGAAATGCAATAACTACAGAAACATTCAATCAATTCATAGTAGGTCTTTTGGAGAAGATTACTCCAGAATTAGAAAATTCATTTCACTAGTTAAATTAGCAAGTACATAATTCACATGCTGTTGGACATTTTTCAAGCAGCAACACTGTAGACTCTCCATTAGATTAGAAAATTATTGTGATAACATTAATTTTATTAGTACCGTATTTCCTTTCCAATTCTACGTTGAAAAAACCTAACAACTACATTTTTTCTGCTTTAAGTGCTAAATGGTGTTATAAATGAAACATGATCTAAAAACCTTTATGGTAACGTTTATTCCTTAAATAAAACTCTTAATTATATCAAGTTGACACATTGGTGTGATATCTCCGGAATGGTTGACCTTAACTTTCTGGCACTCTATGCCCTCCAGACAGCATTGAAATAATAACGTACGAATAAATGTACGGTCGCGGCCTATACGCCCATCATTGATTACACTTGCGATTGGTTAAACGCTTACTTAGTTGATTTTTATTTCACTGAGAGGAATAAGAAAATTCCCGCCACGAAATCGACGGCCACACTTTTTTTCCACATGGACATCGGAGATAAAAGTATCATTAAATGTGCAAGTCGATGGTGTTGTAATTCCAACAACCAACTACCCCAAGTCCGTAGGGGACACATTCGATAGCCTCTTTAAGGGGTCCGCGCATACCACTGTTATTAGAAGTACCAACAAAGTTGTCAAGTCTCTTGGCAGCAGCATAATGTTAAAATATTCAGTGCTGCCAGAATGCCGCTCTCAGAACCGAAAGAGGTTGCCTCCTCATGATACCTGTCGGCCATCTATATGAGGAGGCGGATATCATACCGATACGATAGCAAAAATGCTCTTAATACAACACCTGGTTAGATATTACAAACAGAGCCAATTCAATCACCATCTGGTGGATGAGCAACCTCCGCCCAGGCACGTAAGGAAAGACCTACATGTTCTAGGAAAGAGGTGAAGAGGTATAAGAGAGGGCTACTAGATCAACAGGCCTGTCAAACTGAATGATATTCACTCTGACGCGGTTTCAGAAGTCATGGTGGAATATTGAGTGTATATCGTACTAGGATATTATCCCCTCCCATCATAACTGAAAAGCGAGATCTGCCCCGACAAACCCAAGACGTTTGGAACAAAAAAGATTCAGATAATGCAGCCACCTCAATTTATATTGGCCACGGATTGACAGCGATGAGCAGAACATCTACCCAGCATATGCCCCAGGCCCACATGACACGCTACGCCTATTTCGCTACCCAGCCAAACCTTTTAAACTAACTTCAGTGTCGTTGTGGACCCAAGAAGAAGAGGACAAAATGTATGAAACAAAACACCAAATATATAATTAGTATAATTCAAATAGATTCATAATTTTATTGGAGTTTTCTTCTCTTTTCTATTCAACAACAAAATTACGTTGAGTGTATTGAGTACTTGTGTATTTTCGCTCCATTCTTCAAATTCTCAAAAAGATAATGACGAGAAGAACTTCCTAAAGCTACACACTTGTTTCCATGATACATGATACATTTTTAGGGGAAGACAACTTATGAAAAATATATTTTCTTCATGCGGCAGCTTTATATTTGCTAACCTCAGAACGAGTAACAATGCCAAGTATACAGGGTGAGATGAAAAAACTGCAACCAACTTCAGACTGCTGTCATTTCTAAGCCACTTGTCCGACAGCTGTTAAAATTATTCCAGTGACAGCTCATTACATTGTTTATAAGCGTACAAAAGCATTTTGATGGAAATTTTCCAGAAAAAAAGTTATTCCTGATGGAATTCAAACTTGATAGTGGGATTTCTTTATATTTGGCTGGAAAACCACAAGTGGCTATCGTTAGAGCACTCCAGCATTTAAATGTGAATAAATCTTTTGTGACTCGCACCATCGCTCGTTACCGTGATACTGGCAGCGTAGCCTGACGTCAAGGAAGTAGATGGAAAAAAACAACAACATTAGCAGAAATGGTTCGAGAAGTAAAGAAGCAACTTGATCGAAACCCGCGTCGCAGTGGCAGAAAAATGGCTCGTTAGCTAAACATATCGGCAAATATTGAAAAATGAGGTCGGGGTAAAGCCATTTAAATCCCAAAACGTGCAAGAACTTACACCGTAAAATAAAGAAAAAAGGCTCAAAAGAGACAAAGAGTTGCTTTGCTTGGCCGAAAGTGGTGAACTGCCGATCAACAATTGTACGAGTTGTATACGATTTACTATCATGAACGATGTTCCCAAGAACACATTACTGTGAATGGTGTTGGTAGATTGGTTATCCAGCCTCCTTTTGTCCTTAGTGGGCAGTTTGAATTTCGAATCTCTACTTTTTACTGTAGTAAAAGGTGGAGATGATTTCTTAGATTTCACAACGCGCGATTGCGAAGACAGGCAAGATCCACGATTCTTAAAATTGGTAGATACCAGAGATGGTTCTGAATATCTATTAATTTGTGGCCGGTGAAGAAGGCAGTGTTGTCCTTGATTAGAAGATTTGCAACTATTTGTACTGTGATAATCTTTGACAGCATGACCATGAAACATGCATTTGACGGAACGTTTGTCTTTTTCAAAAACAAGAATTTGTACTCAAACGAAAGTTTTTTGACTCTGTCAAAAAAAATGACTCTAGTCATGACAAATGGGACAGTTAGTATTTGACAGTACATTAGTAGACAGAAGAAAAAGAGGGACATATTTTGGCTGATTTGTCATTAAGTTTTGATGAAAATGTCTTTTTTGCGGAATGAGGAAGGTCAAATCATCTGGGAAATAGCGATAGACATGGGAGGAGTAACATTCATTGGTGACATTTATTTAATAAAGGGAATAGGAAAAGTGACTAATTTGGGCAAGGATTTGCTGTGGGTGAATTTTTATGTGTGCCCTGAATTCACTGGAACGTTTCTATTCTTTCTGTGAGGAACGAATCGCAAGACGACAAAAACAAGTTTCCAATAAGCCGTAGTGACGTCATAGGATTTCATTGTAGCGAGACTATTATTAATTCCACGTTGATATTTTTCAAACCAAAACAAGTTTTAAATTTCATAGGAGGAATATTTGGTATAACTATGCACCACGAAGGGCTTATTATCATACATATCCGACAACGATTTCTAAGCTAAATCGAAACTACAATTAGTGAGTAGTAGGCGTGGTCAGTTCCTCAGCCCCAAATAAATACTTAGGATTGGAGGAAAGTCACAGTATGTCGTGTACTAATTTTAAAATCGATATCTTCACTATTTGGCAAAAATAAGGATTTTTGATAAATCGAAATAGTGGGCGTAAAAGTAGGCGTGGTCAATATTTTGTTCTTCAAAAACCTAACTCGGGGTATTACAAACGTTTGTACGAAAAATTATGCAATCGGTTCAGCCGTTCTCAACTGATTCCATTACCAACGAACAACAATTGATTTCCATATATAAACTCAAACTAAAACCTCTTACTTACAAATAGGATCAGGTTTTTTGAAAGACGTATTTATTTCTATTTAATCGAATCATCATTTTTACAAAAAATTGTGTCACTTATGTGAGTAAGATTTGTGAATTATTATGCTTTAAAAACTTTGCATTAAAGACTAAAACTACGGGCCGGCAACGCGGACTGGGACAGCTAGTTTCCTATAAAATTTAATTTAATTTTGTTCAAAATATAATATGGCAATAATGTAAAGCAAACGTGTTAACGTGTATTTTATAGAAATTCTGAAAGCTTTGTTTTTGAGGGATGTGAAGCGCCAAGAGAATGTTTGTGCCCCTAACAATTATTTGAATTTCCTCATCATAGACATACAATTTTGAAGTGATATTGTAACAAATAGAAGATTTCTGATCAAAACAATAGCTTCCATCCTATTTTATATATGTATTTCGTTCGTATGTCTCTGTTAAAACAAAAAAAAAAAAAAAATAATAAATAAATAAAAGTAAATGGAAAAACTTTTGTGTGATTGTCACTGACAGAAGAAAACATTAGATACTAAAACCAAAATATATTTTTTTATTCTTAAAACTTACGAACGAATGGAAAAAGGCCAGTAGGCTCATCTGAATACTACTAAAAAAACAGCATATATAGCATTGAACATTTTTCTTTTTAGTTGAATATTTTAGCGTAATTGAGAATTCGTCTGAAAGTTTCAATACTTTGACCTCATTTTTCATTATTCTCCGTATTCATCAGAATCAGAAAGACATGTTGCCAATTTCTCTTTACTGTCAGCAAATCAGCTTTTACGTTTTTTAACGAAAATTCTTACAACAATTCATTGTGTTTAATCTGTATTTTTCGTTTTATTTTAGGTCACAGTATGCGGTTTATTATTGCCTTGTTATTATTAACATCATCTTACGTATCTCCTTTAAATAATGGACTGGCGCTTACACCTCCAATGGGCTGGTTGTCATGGGAAAGGTTCCGATGTAACACTGATTGCGAAAATGATCCGGAAAATTGCATCAGGTAAATGAAACCACTATTGTATTTAATATTTACATCCCTGCAAAAAAAAATAACACGGCGATACAATCATTATTTTATCATCCCGGAAGTTAAATCCTACGGTTAGAAATAAGCTAAGCCCGCAATAGTTGTTTGTGTATTTTGTAAATTTAAACAGAAATTAGACAACAGTAGCTTATATATATGGTTGTTGGTTATATTTCTGTAATATGGATCCCAAGCTACCTCGCGGGTGTACGGGTATAACTCTCGCTCCATTTTAACATACCCATGAATATCGACCAGCCCAACCCAAACCTCGCAATTTATGCCTTCTATATCACATAACTTCCAGCGATAGCCCACATCCTTTATTGAGCAAAACACAACATTATTACTGCCAACGGTTCGAGTTGTTGATTATTGTGTGGGTCGAAGCTAGAAACGCTTTACCAACCGCCCACAGTATGGATTTTAGTTGCGCCATTTATAGTCCACACTCGTGGGAATAATAACTTAGTGCAACTTTCAATTATATCCTAAATTTTAATCCATAAGGAATTCCTTAGAATGCGCTATTATATTTCTTTTTCCACATAAAGCACAAACTTTCGTTTTCAGATTGAGCATTCCTAAGCCGATTCGCATACATTATTCTATCTGTTCGGACGGCAAAAAAACAACCTACGGCTCTGCTTACCAACTAACCTAGGACAAAGTTCACTTCATTCTACTGTTCTCATATCAAACTATAAAGACGTTTAATCAAACCTGGATTACCAAATATAAATACCATATAAAACTATTATTTAAAAGATTCAGATCACATAATGTTAACAAATGTGAGTTGAATTCTTGTACTATACACAAATGGCGATATATGTTCACATTTCAGTGTACGTACTAAATGAAGATTGGTCCCAATTGAAGTTTTAAACCTCGTGTGAGCCTCAGTTTTAAGGAGAATAACTAAAAATTTTCGAAGAATTTTCTACTCTCATGGTGTATATTATATATATATATATATATATATAGCACCTTTTGCTGAAGACATCCGATACAAAAACCATGCGCAGCTCCAATGTCAAACAACTACATATTGTTTGAAACCTTTTGTCAGATTGAAGCTAAATTTAATTAAATTTTGTTGTCCGGTACGATGTGTGGCTCGGTTCGAATGCTTGCGTTGAATGAATGAACACATATATATATATATATATATATATATGAATATATATATATATATATATATATATATATATATATATATATATATATATATATATATATATCTATATATATAAATGTAAGTTGTGTTAGTTACTACGCTTATAACTTAAGAACCGCTGGACTGATTTTAACGATTCACACAAATTCGGAATTGTCTCCTCTCCGAAAAGGATAATATCCAAAAAAATCGCGTAAAAATGTAATATATTAACATTTTCATTTTGACTTTTGAAATGTACAATAGTAATGTTTTATTTTGCATGATTTTTTCCCATTCTGACTTACTTTTTTCTAATGTACATTTGCAGTGTTTTGTATATTTTATTTTTGAATTCGAATATTAATACCAATTTATTTATTTATAAATAGTACCGAATTTATAAAAGTGTAGTACCGAATTATGTGGTGGCGAAACGGAATAGGTGATATCGATATAATTTAACGCGATCACACCAAAGTTAAAAGATAATTACTTTTTCAAAATCGCTAAAAAATCACGAAAAAGAGACCTTATTGCAAAAATTCTCAAATCGGGACTAAATCGAAAAAAAAAAATTCAATGGAATCGAATTTTAAAATAAAAGTTTATTATATTGACAATCTTTGTAAGGATCTTTAAATATTTGCTGTAAAAAATCAGCGAACAAGTTGAAGATTTTTTCAATTTGTTATTCTTCTTTTGTCAATTTTTTTCAATTTGTATTATAATATTGAATTCAGTGGATTTTTTGTGAACAAATTAAAGATTAATTTTTCACTATATACAATTTTTCACCAAAAAAATGAAATAAGTGCGAAATAGGATGTTAACTGACATCTACCCTACAACTCCAGGGCCTACATCGTGGTTCAGCTGGAAGATGCGAACACATTTAAACAAACAAGAATGACCGAAAAATTCAATTCAAAGCATGGACCTACTTCTTTCATGTGACAATAATCCGTCCAATGAGAGCTTAAAATGCTAAATTCTTTGGGAGTACAATCAGTAAAATACCAAATATAAAGTGTGCAAAATAGTAGAGCGAATGGGATTTTTAGTAAGAAAAGGATTTCTATCCTTCCAGAAATTCTTCCCAAACATTCAAAATACCTTAAATCGCTTTTGCAGGTCTTGATATCGATCATAACTCACGGATAAGGGTACAACCCGATTTCATATTTATATAAACATCTATGATTTAAGCTATTTTTGGGGTCTTGGCCAGTTTTTTCATTTTTTGGTCCTTATTTAGCATTTTTGTTTCTAAGGGGGTAGGGAACCTCTTCGCATGAAATTTGAAATTTTCAGAGTAGGGCCCATATTGGTCTTGACCACGTTCATCAATTGATTTGGCTAAAAATTGTATTTATGCTAACCTGGGGAAGGGAACCATCATACAGATAATTCCCACATAGGAATTTATTTAAGTAAAGTCCCCACATTGGAGTATCCCCAAGTCCACTTTCACATCTAATGTGTGGTCAGAAAAGAAAATTTTGTATTCTATTGAATTTGTAACCCCCAAGAGAATATTGGTTGGGCCACGTTTTGGTATTACTCTCATATGAATGTATCCCTGATTCCAGCTATGACTGTGGTTTTGGCCACGTTTTTCAACTGATTTGGCCATTATTTGGCATCTTGGCTTTTCTATTTAGAGGGTCTTGACCCCATTTTTCAATCGATTTTGCTGTATTTAGGCTACTTTGTGAATAGAGAACCATCTTAGAGAAAAATGTCAACATACGTAAATATTTTGGTACAGTCCCCAGTGCCGCCGATCTGTAGTGATTTTTACCGATTGGCGGACGACAACACGGGCATGGTTTAATCGTCATTGAATTTTACTATGAACAAGAACGTAGACTTTTTGGGGACGTTAATGCGCAATTTAAGGTGCTATGGTAATGGGTGTAAAAGCGTAATTAACTTTTAAATTATTTTGTCCTCCTTCCATATGTATTCATTTTGATTTAGTTGGATCAATATTTATATTAAAATTTGTTCACTTTTATGAACTAGATTTGTGCTATATAAAATTTGCATTACAGACTAAAACTACGGGCCGGCAACGCGGACCGGGCCAGCTAGTATATATATATATATATATATATATATATATATATATATATATTGATGATTTCAACTTTATTATTAACCGATTTTTTTTCAAGATTTGAATATTGTAATGGCTTATGACGAAAATTTGCCTATGTAGGTCCAAGTCGTCGTATTCATCAAAAGAATTTTTAACGGATTTTATTTTTTTGAAAAAGAACAAAGCAGCAGAATGTATTGCAAGGGACCGGTGATTTATACTATCAAATGCTTTGTTGGTGTGGATAGACACCCTGCAAGCATTTGGAAGTGAGTCACTCACTCTCTTTTTAAGATGCCACTTCTTTGACGCTTCTAAACCTAATAAATGCAATAGTATGCACATATTAACTAAACTACTGTTGGCTACTTTCCATCGTCACAGAGTTACTACGTAGTGGCGACAAGGAAGATAAAATAAAGTGTTACATCTGCAGACACTCTCTCGTAACTTCCATTGGACGAAACATCCATAGTTTATAACTTTGCTCTCTGGGTTCGATTCATAAGCCAGACATCACTTTCTATATTCGAAAAAATTATGTGTGTGCCCTAGTCAAGTTATGAGTTTCATGTGTTTTAAGTAATTAGGACGTATTAAAATTTTGTTTCGATCTGGCAACTCCTTCATATAGAAACAGGTGTTCAAGACGACGCATCCGTAACTTTTTTACAATGGAAAAATTAGAAAAGCGTGCTGTCATTAAATATTTACATAAAAAAGTTTGTCGGGACAAGAAATTCATAATGATATGTTAGGTGAAAGTGCCCCTTCATATGCAACAGTAAAAAATTGGGTTGCTGAATTTAAACTTGGTCGTACAAGCATTGAAGATGAACCACGTAGTGGACGTCCAAAAACAGCAAACACAACAGAAATTGTATCTAAAGTGCATGACATGGTATGGTGCGTGAAATTGCTAATATTATGAGCATCTCAAATGATCGGGTCTATTAAATTTTGCATGAAGAACTACAGATTAAAAAGCTTTCTGCAAGATGGGTGCCGCATTAGTTAACAGTCGATCAAAAACGCATAAGAATGAACATTTCACAAGCTTGTTTGGATCGTTTAAGCGAAATAAAATGGATTTTACGCGTCGTTTCATAACTGTTGGTGAGACATGGTAAAGAAATCCTTTCTGGCAAGCGTTTAACCCCAAATGAAGATTCAATTACAATTTTAATCAAGGAATAGAATTGCTAGATAAACGTTGGACTAAGTGTATTGAAGTTTCAGGAGATTATATTGAAAAATAAAATTATTTTTGAAAAATTAACTATTCTCTTTTATTGAAAGGCTAAGTACTTTTCGAGCCGCCCTCATAACAATTTGAAAACATCGTATGAAATTGAATTTAGAGCAAGAAAACAATCTTTAATTGAAATCATAAAACAACTTAACTTGTAATATTATAAATGAGTAAATATTATAATTTTAATTAAATATTTATGTAATTATGGATAGAATAACAACATTTGAAAACAAAATGTAAATAACAACATAGACTAAAAATATTTAAATATGTTTACAACAATATATATTTTTACAATTTTAAACAATTTATTAAAATTTGGCACAATATCTATTGCTCTTGCATTTTATGGGACCCAAAATAAATTGTTTCCAGAAGTAATTTTCCGGCATTTTTATTAAAATATATATTTTTTTTAAATTTTGCTAGAACATCACAATTATTAAAAACTTTGT